GGCAATAAAAACTCTTGACTTCCGAGATGAGCTGAAAGCAGGACTCATCTTGAATTACCTCTCTGGAAGGACAATAATTCCATGGTGCTACAGATAAAACTTGGCTATGCAGCCATGAGTGCGAGTTGTGCAGTGGCCGGGGCTGTGTTTGGGATCTCTCCCAAGCCTGGCTGATTGGAGTCTGAGCTCCAGGAGAGCAAAGCAATTAGCAATGTTTGACATGAAGTTCACAACCAAGGTAGCCAAATGCACCAGTAGTGTATGTTCAAACCAGGTGGGTCTTGCTATTTACAGCTGGTTGATAATAAACCTGGTTTCCTGGCTTCAAACTAGTGACAGATGGAATTGGAAGGACAATAGTGCAAATGATGTTGCAAAGGTTTCTCTCAGATAGGTGAGTGTGACACTGAGCAACCAGGTCTGGACAGTGCAAGTGTGCCACTCAGCGAAGAAGTCAGGCAAAGTGCACAGAAGATTAGGTCAAAGTCTGAAGAAGAGTCTCTTGACTTCATAGATTACTCTTGCTCTCCTAGAGGCCAAAGTTAATTTTCAGAGAGTTAAAGCATCATGAGTTGTGTGCAATGAGCTGTTTGGTTTCTCTCCAGGTTCCTGGTGGACAAACACACCTTCGTCTCACCCTTAACCTCCTCAATTCAAAATAATACAATTGCACAGAGTGCTGGCTGGCAATTTAGTCATAACAGTTGTGGATCGAGCGTGTATAAAACAGAATAAAATAAAAAACACTCCTCCCTTTATCCCCCATCCTGAAAAATTTCCTTGAAAGGAACAGCTCAGTCTTTGTGAGGAGCTGAGAAAGCATCCGACTGCGACACCGTTGCCTTACGGGACCTCACTCAGCCTCGGTTGCATAAAAGGGCTTTATAGGATTATAAAGGTTCCATGCAGCGGCAGCTCCAAGGCAGCGTTTCAGGTGGGGGCACCGGCTCTCCCTGGCTCTGCCTGCACTTGTTTATTATTGATACCACGCTCCAGAAAGTGCCACCTCACCCTTCTTCCTGGGGCTGCTGGAATGCGTGGGCAGAGCTGAGGCTGCCGCATCGGTTCCCCCCCACCCCGCTGAAATGGGCACGGGTCCAGCACTGGGCAGGGAAAACATATGTGAGTGTGCACGTGTGCTGCTTTTGCTCATGGAGGTCTTCAGCTGGAAGAGCTTCATTGCTTGTTGGGTAGGAAAAGTCTCTCTTCCCCTAAATTTACTCCTTGTCTTGTTCTGGAGATGCTTTCCTAGTTCACTTGATTCACTCTGGTTCAGACCAGCTTGAAAGCCAGTGGAATTAGTCCAAGTAGTGATGGACACGTCTCCGTTCAGCGTGGGCATTCCATGGCTCGTTTTTCACCAGTTTGGATTTTCATTTCCCTTTTTCTCTCATGGATGAGGACAAGTGTAGTGGTCAAAACCAGGACAATAGAGCAGAGCTGAGTGAGGAAACAGGAGGTGGAGAAAGGTGGTGTTCTGCCTTCCCTGTAAGAACATCATGTTGATGTCTCGTCTTTGGGTCGTTTTCTTGGGAAGGGGTGAAGGTGGGTGTCTGCATGCTGATCCAGCTTTCTCAGCTCCCCGTGGCTGTTATCCACATGTCCCAGACATCAGGGCTGATGAACTCCTACCTAAGCTTTTTGCACAGAGCAGTGAAAATGGACACTGCTGACAATTTTCTATTGTTTCTCAGGACTCTCCATCCGCTGGTTCCAAGTGGCTGTTGGAGGGTTGTCCTCTGGCATTGTGCTTACCACAAATCTTGTTTTCTACCTTCTCCCTATGCCAGGCTCTTTATTTTGCTTTTAATTAGGTGACTCTTGTTGGGACCTACTTTGGAGATACATGCAATTGCACTGTGCTATCAGCAACTCTACTCTAAAGTATCTCAAAGCCAAACATCTAAGGGGGAGGGTGAGCAAGAGGCTCAAAATCACCAATTACTCTGCAGAAATCTTGGCTCTAGGATCAATTCCTGTATCCCCCCTCACTGCGATAGTAATCTGCTACTTGATACTTGGAACTTTATCTTTTCCAGAATGTTTAGCTGAACAGTACCTCCTCAGTCAGGAAGGTAAATTGGGGAGGAGGAGCTGTAGAAAATGCTTTTATACCTCCCTGTCTCTTCTTTGCCAGCTGAGAATATCTCTTGCATCAAATGTGAAAGCTTGCAGCAATGAACCTTCAGAGCAGAATTATTGATGAAGGCCAGGAACGAACGTCCTGGAGATTTTCTTTACTATGGTGAAGCTCAGACCAAGCCACCTTTCTCATGGACAAGCCTGCTTGGAGCTTCGGTTGACGAGGCACCAGGGCTGGGTGATGTCCCTTCTCCTTGGGGAGCAAGTCAAGCTCAAGTCCACACTCTGTCCCAGTCCAGACAGAGCAAAAACGTAAGGGTTAACATTTGTCAGTGCTTCAGATGGATCTTGCTGCTGGGCCTTTTGGATGTTTTTATCATTTTGGGGGAGCAGAATTTGGAGAAAAACCTATTTTTTTGGGAAACGTGCACTAGATGCACTAGATACACTGGTCTTCCTTGTTTCCTACAAATCACTCTGACTCTTCATTTTTACCATTGCGTTTTTTTTTTTTTTTCTGGAAATCTGAAGACTTTTGAAGGTAAATGAAGGACAATATTTCCCTGCCCATCTCTTTATTCTCTTGAAAATCCAAACCTAGCCATTTTTTTTCTCCTTCTTTTAGATGTCTTATATTAAATCACCTCATTAAATCATTAGTAGTGATTGGATCTGTACAGGAGGTTGCTGGCTGTGGCCCAGGTCAGGATTTTGTGCCCATTGTGCAAGGAAGTTTGGGAATTAAAGCATCCTAGCTGCTTGCCCTCGGGGACTGTGCTCCTGGCAGGATGCATCCCACTGATTAGAGAGAAATCCTCATTGAAAAAAGAAACAATAAATCACTTTTTCTGCAGGACAGGTGGGGTTTTAAAGGGTTTCCAGGATCCATCTGTGTTCAGTGAAGGGGTTGAGCATGTGCTCCCCTCCTGTGCCCCCAACCCCATTTACCCTGGTGGTCCTGCAGCGATGGAGAGGTCCGAGCCTGCCACCCATCCCTGTGCTCGCCTGTGCAGGATTGCAATGTTCCAGCATGTTTTTACTTCTGGCTTTAAACAATTCTTCCTTTTTGGCTGGGGAAATGTCTTTCAGGTCCTTCAAAACCCTACATAGTGATTCCCATTGACTGCGTGGACTGGCACCTGGCCGGAAAAGGGCAGAGCCAGGAGAATGGGGTGCGGGCAGCTCGGCCAACAAACTGCTCATGAGCCCAGCAGATGTTCCTGCAAGCCTCTCTGCTCCCTGGGGCTGATGCCAGCCTGGTCCTTTTCCAGCAGCTCGTCACTTGACACCGGGAACAGTACGCTGGCTTCTTTTGTTGCACATTGTACCAGTCAAGGACCTTGTGCTCGGAGAAGGCAGGAGAGGGGAGAAGGCAACAGGACACGTATTTCTTCAGGTCGTTTTTGAGATTTTGAGCTCGTTCTCCCTTGTAAAATCTTTTGGCAGTATCGCCTGTAAAAGCGTATCCTGCTCTCAAGCCTCAGGCTGCGGCTCACTGGGTTTTATGTCGGGATCTCTTCTGCTGAGGGCAGAGTGTTTGTACTTGCTGTCTCAAAGTGTCTCCTGGGATCTGGTGGGTCAAATCACCCTCTCCCCCTTCCCAAGCCAGTTCTGCTTGATGTGCTAACGTGTTTGGTTTTTTTTTTTAAGGCACACGAGAGTGGCTATAGTGCTGTTGTCTTTTTGCTAGTTTTCTTAATTCATGCATGAGGTACCTTCCATTATTTCTTCTCTATTTTGATTTTCCTTACAGTCCTGTGATGGAAGTTGCCAAGATCTTGCGTCCAAACAAGCTCTGTGAGAGCTGGTAGAAGGACACAAATCCAAATATTTCTTCTTACTCTTCTCTTGCTCTCCCCTTACACACACACGGCAGAGAGATTTGCTGTAAAATCACTCCTTGCCCATACACCAGCAAGTCATAGAATCATAGAATAGTTTGGGAAAGGACCTTAAAGATCATCTAGTTCCAAACCCCCCTGCCATGGGCAGGGACACCCTCCACTAGATCAGGTTGCTCGAAGCCTCATCCAACCTGGCCTTGAACACCTCCAGGGATGGGGCAGCCACAACTTCTCTGGGCAACCTGTTCCAGTACTTCACCACCCTCAGAGGGAAGAATTGCTTTCTTAGGTCTAATATAAATTTCCCCTCTTTCAGTTTAAAGTCATCGCACCGTGTCCTGTCACTACACACCCTTGTAAAAAGTCCCTCTCCAGCTTTCCTGTAGGCCCCCTTTAGGTACTGGAAAGCTGCTATAAGATCACCCCGGAGCCTTCTCTTCTCCAGACTGAACAGCCCCAACTCTCTGTCTGTCTTTATAGGAGTGGTGCTCCAGCCCTCTGATCATCTTCGTGGCCCTCCTCTGGACTCACTCCAGTAGCTCCATGTCCTTCTTATATTGGGACTCCAGAGCTGAACGCAGCACTGCAGGGGGGTCTCCCGAGAGCAGAGCAGAGGGGCAGAATCCCCTCCCTCGCCCTGCTGCCCACGCTGCTCTGGATGCAGCCCAGGACACGGTTGGCTTTCTGGGCTGCCGGTGCATGGTGCCGGCTCATGTTGAGCTTCTCATCCACCATCACCCCCAAGTCCTTCTCCTCAGGGCTGCTCTCCATCCGTTCTCTGCCCAGCCTGTACTTGTGCTTGAGATTGCCCTGACCCACATGCAGGACCTTGCACTTGGCCTTGTTGAACTTCATGAGGTTCTCACAGGCCCACCTCTCCAGCCTGTCGAGGTCCCTCTGGATGGCATCCCTTCCCTCCAGCATGTTGACCACACCACACAGCTTGGTGTCGTCAGCAAACGTGCTGAGGATGCACTCAAATCTACATGGGTGCTCAGCTGGGGGGAGCCTGATCCCACCACGGGCCCCCATTGCTACCATGGTTTGTATCTCTCTGTCCTCACCAGTGTGCCCCTCTGTTCCTCTGCAGGCTGACGGGGAACGAACCCCTGACCATCCTCCCTCTGACCTCAGAAATGGAGGAAGCTGCCGTCAAAGCCCACTACAAAGTCTGTGACCGCCTGAAGCTGGAAAAGAAGCAGCGCAGGATGTGCCGGCGGGACCCTGGCGTGGCTGAGACCCTGATGGAAGCAATCAGCATGAGCGCGCTGGAATGCCAGTACCAGTTTCGCTTCGAGCGCTGGAACTGCACCCTGGAGGGTCGCTACCGGGCCAGCTTGCTAAAGAGAGGTGAGCAGGGTGGGGGGCTCAGCTGGAGGTGCTGACACCTCTTGCACCCGTTGGCTTCCCTGGCATTTTGCAGAGTGGTCACCTTGGTTCGTTCTGTGCCAGTGGTGGGTCACCACCTCCCCAGAGGTCCAAGAAGAGGACCAAGCCAGGCTCAGCTCATTCATGAAGGTGCTCAGCAGGCAAAGGTTGTGCTATATGGTGGTAATTTATGTGCTTGTACTAGTGAAGCAACTCTTGTCTGCTTCCCATCGCTGGCCATGACTCCTCTCCTCAGAGACTGGAGATGTTTGTTCATGTGTCTGCAGCCAGCAGCTACAGTTGCTCCTCACTTCTGCTGGAATCTGAGCTGTTGGTGAAGGTGTTGAAGTTCCCAAAGCTGTCCTCTCTTTTTGTTTTTGTTGTTTTATTTTTTTCTCATTTATTATGCCAGCCTTTCAGGAAAGAAGTTGAGAAAGTGCCTTATTAAGGGAAATAAAGCAAAACGGGCTATTCTGTGCTGTCCTGTTAGTGGGGGCAAGGGGAGCCCCATCACAGCGCGGGGCAAAACGTGCAAATGTTCGTGTGTCCTGTTACTGCTCTACCCAGAGAAAAGCTCCCTGGATGTGAGTGGTGGGTAATTCCTACCTCCCTTCCCAGCAGCTCAAATGGAGATGACCAGAAGCTGAGAGAGAGTTTTGGAGGAGCAGGTGGTGGTTTTATCTCTTTCCTTTGTGCTACCTCATATAGTCCAGTTTCCTGCACCCTCCCAGTAAAATCCAGTTCTTATTTCTGGACTGCAGCTAACAGTGCAGCAGGACTGTTTTACGGATGAGATTACTTTTGCATGGCTTTTGAGAGCTTTAGTGACCTTCAGAAAGTCCCATGCTCAGCGATGGAGCCGGACCTAGAAATGCAGTCTGACCTGCTGGAAGATAAGAGCAGAGGTTTGCAAAGTGCCTTCCTTCACTAATTAGCGAGAAGGAGTAATTCAGAAGCACTGGGCTTAACTACTGCACTGTCACTGACTGCGGTGGAAACAAGGAAAGTCCTTATGAAACCCAAGAGGTCCAGCCAGAGCTGCAAGACATTTAAAAATATCCCTGCATGCCAGAGGAGTCCCTGGATTCCTGACGCCCTGGGAAAGCCAAGCACTTTCTCATGCTGACACCTGGAGGCCACAGCTTGTTCCTTCAGATGTTCCTGCCCCCATGGACAGCCCTTGGCAAGGGGTATTTCAGAGCAGCCTGAAGTTGAGCTGCCTTAATACACCGTCCAGCATCAACTCCCCCACCACCCCTTGTCAGGACCCCCTGTGATAAACGGCAGCTCTGGGGGTTGCGAGGCTCTGCCTGCTGTCTCATTCTTCCATGTTTTATGCCCCTGCAACATCCCTGCCCTCCGCCGATGCTGTAAATCCTTCAGATGGTGATCCTGCAGCATAACACGCTGCCCTGTAAATCTTTTCTCCTCCTCTCTGGGAGCTGCTGGTTCCTGGTTCAGCATTGCAGCAAGTGATACCCCAGGGCAAAGGGGTACATGTATCACCCATGAAGACACAGCTATTCAAATATGTTGGTGTGGGCTTGCTTCCTCTCCTCCAGGACTATTGCAGCTTTTTAAGGAAAGAGAGAGGAGAGAAAAAAAAAAAAAAAAAAAGGAAAGGAAAATACCCCACATTTTGCTCAAGAAAAGTTTCTCCCTCCATTTTTACACTCGGTCACCACAACAGCCTGACTGCTGGTTTGCAACTTGGGCTGATGCAGCCCGTTTCTTAAAATAACGGGGGGGTTGTTTAAGGGACTTGTTATCCTCTTTGGATACTCACGAACAATTTTGGATTTGGCTGAAACTGGATAGCTGTGGATGGCAGGCTGTCGATGCGCTGGGGGTTAGAATGCCTGCACTGATTTAAAGCTCATTATCTTGTTACAAAATATCTTGGTGCAATCAAATAGTGCATGGCGGAGATGGCTTTAAATCTGGCCAGAGCCAAATGTCACATGGACTTGCTTGGAAGCTGCCTGAGCTGCCCGTGGGTGAGATGATACCCGTGCTGATGGGCACCGGGAGTTCGTGAGGCTTTTAGTGATGGAGAATGGGAGGAGTAGAGCCAAAGGTGGTGGGGAGATTGATGGAGGGGGAGAACCTGGCAAATGAACCGTTCCTCCTGGCTTCTTGTCAAACCTGGTATGCGTTGTGGTTGCACGGCACTGACTTTCTGCTCTGAATTCAGTGCTTCAAACCAGGAGGTCTTCAAGGAGGTTGTAGATCCGGACTATCTACTGGACCACATCCAGGCTGTTTGCTGCTAATTGCAACGTCTCAGACTCTGAGAAGAGTTTGCGTGCCCTATTCCACCGAGGACCTTCTGTTAGCACTCTGGTACCTCTCCGTTTCATAGCACAAGTAGTAGCAATGGCAAGAGCCAACTCTACAATTCAGGAGCACCGAGGCTTGGGAGTATCTCTCTCTCTAGTAGTGGCATCCCTCTGACAGGTGTGTGGGCAGCCTGACCTAGAGTGTATCCTAGAAAAAGCTGAACTAGCCTACAAAAGATGAAAGCTTCTTAGAAGCTTAGAAGAAGAGTTTGGTGGTCTGCATTCCCATGAGTGTTTGTTGTGTGAATTAAGTATTCTCCTGCTGCTCCCAATGATAGTTTGCAATGCTGAAGATGTTTCTGGGGTGCCAGGCAACATGGTTTGACTTCATGGAGAAAACAAAGAGGGGAAAAAAAAAGGAACAAATTTGGTTTCTCAACCTTTACCGCTCTTTATGATGTCTCTAGTGAGTGTGAAGTTGAACCTTTTTTATTATAACCTTCCTTCCAATGAAGGAAGTGTTCCTGCCCTTCTTTTCCAGGTGAGTGGTAGAACGGTTGGACATCTCCTACCATGATCTGATTTAAGTCAGCCCCCTCGGGATGTGTTCTGCTGAAGTTCAGCATCGTGCACCTGGGAGTGCTTTGGGAAGGCGGGTTCTAGAGATGGGCCAGGGTAGCACCCTGTGAACTTGCTTGGATGACCATGAACCTCCCAAGGAACAGTTCCAAAAATGACCTGGCAGTGTCTCTGCATGTCCTTGGTTGACACACCAGCTTACAGATATATCCACTACTGTCACCATCCACTTGAGTTATTTTTGAGTGGGGGATTTCTTGAGTCGGATCCAAAGCTGTTCTGGAATTGCATCTCAAATATGCAGTTGTTTATGGCTTCCATAGCTGGAGAACGAGGAGCTATAAATACTGGCATGTTTGCTTTTTATTTCTGGCTTTTATCATTTGGATGGAAATCATGGTTCTCTCTAGGCCTCAGTTTACCTGTGGGTGGGAGCGGATGCTGTTGCATCCCTGCAGGTGAGCATGGAGGTGTGAAAGAGTTGGGTGTGAAAGGTTTGAGTCGTAAACTGCTTTTTGAGGCATTTGAGTGAGGTGTTGCGTTGGGTGACAGATTGGCTGCTGTGTGCTTCCCAGCCCTTAATGCCTTTTGTGAACAATTTTGTTGGACTGGAGTAGGACCCAGTGACACTTTTCTGGGGGAGAGGGAAGAACAAGGAGCCCTCATGATTTAGAATCATAGAATGGTTTGGGATAGAAGAGATCTTAAAGATTATCTAGTTCCAACCCCCTGCCATGGGCAGGGACACCCTCCACTACACCAGGTTGCCCAAAGCCTCATCCAACCTGGCCTTGAACACTGCCAGGGATGGGGCAGCCACAGCTTCTCTGGGCAACGTGTTCCAGTGCCTCACCACACCCATTGTAAAAAATTTCTTCCTTAGATCTAATTGAAATCTCCCCTCTTTCAATTTAAAGCCACTGCCCCTTGTCTTATCACTACACATCCTTGTAAAAAGTCCCTCTCCAGCTTTCTTGTAGCCCCCTTAGGTACTGGAAGGCTGCTATAAAATCAGCCCGGAGCCTTCTCTTCTTCAGGCTGAACAACCCCAACTCTCTGCCTGTCTTCATAGGAGAGGTGCTCCAGCCCTCAAATCATCTTTGTGACCCTCCTGTGGACCCGCTCCAACAGTTCAGGTTTCTACCCCAACCATTAGACTGGAAGTCTATGCTGAGTTTCTGCTATTTGGTGTCCCCTTGGCAGCAGTATTGCTGTACGATGGTCATGGTACCTCCATGGTCTCTCCAGCTCTTGCTCACCTCGTTCTGTTTTCAGGCAAAGACTGTCTGCAGTGACAGAGCTGGCCAGGTTTCATTTGCATTCTTGAATCCTGGCTCGTACCACCTCTATCCTTCATTCCTTGCTCTCCACTGTCAGTTATGGGCATATGATGTTGCTCATGCTCTTCTCACAATGGGTTTTGCCTAGGTTTCCTCGTATTTTTCTTTTTTTAACCCTTGCTCCAGCTGCAATTAAAGCCACTTCCTCCTTTCTCCTGCAGGTTTTAAGGAGACAGCCTTCTTGTACGCCATCTCCTCCGCGGGGCTGACGCACGCCATGGCCAAGGCGTGCAGCGCGGGGCGGATGGAGCGTTGCACCTGCGACGAGGCTCCCGACCTGGAGAACCGCGAGGCTTGGCAGTGGGGCGGCTGCGGAGACAACCTGAAATACAGCAACAAGTTTGTCAAGGAGTTCCTGGGGAGGAAGCCCAACAAGGACCTGCGAGCCAGGGTGGACTTCCACAATAACCTCGTGGGCATGAAGGTGTGTTGCAGGTTGCTCGGGGTGGGGGTTCACGCTGTTGTGGGGGCAATAAAGTGTGGAAATAGGAGTGTTGGATGCAAAACGCACAGAGCGGTCCTTCTGCTGGAGGGGTGAAGTCTCAGTTATGGGACTGTGACCTGGTTTTGTGTTTTGCACTGCGCTTCAAGAGTTGTGCAAAACTGTTGGAGGGAGACCAAAGGGAAAGAAAAAGACTGTTCATTTCTAGAAAACATGAGGTTGGGGGGGAAAGATGGCTGGTTTTCCACAGGGAGAGGAGAGTCTTACAATGCAAATGGATGGAAAGGCAGGTTCTCCAGGCTCACATGAGGTAGGACACAGAGGAAGGGATCTATGCTGCCACAACGCAGGCTGAGAGATGCTTTTCTTGCAGTAGTTCAGTAGAGCATGGATAGTGTAGCATCTCCATAGCCAGGTTTCGTTAAAACTGGCTGGACAAACACCTGGCGGGGAACCAGGGTGGAGATATCTTCTCTGTCTGACCTCAGTCCTAAAAGTCCCTTCAGCTTTTTCTGGCAGCCTTCCGCTCTGCCTAGAGCTGCTGGGTTTGCAGCTGACAGTGCTTGGGTGTGTAGTCCCTCTTTTTTTTAAAAAAAAAAACCTTTTTTTTTCTTTTCTCATCCTTATCCTCTCAGCTGGAAGCCTTTCTGCTCTTTACCCCATGTTCCTCCCACGAGACTTTACCCTCCTGCTTGGGGGCCTCCCTGTAGGACTGATGTAAAGGACAAAGTATCTGCAATTGCTGGGTCATCCCAGCAAGAGAAGGGAAAGGAAGGGGCTTTCCACTGTCTCCTGTAATCTGTTTGGCTGTACCTAGCCTAGAGTTGCTCAAACACGAAAATCCCTCGGATTGGCTAGCACAGGTGCCTAGGATCAGTGTTTCATTGCGCCAGCCTCGAAGGGGGACATACTGTAAGGCTATAAATAGCCCTCCAGCCTTGTTATTGTCCATGTGATTGGATGGAGGGTTGGGGCTGGGATGGGGGGACCTAGGTCTCCAGTTTCCCAGGCAAATGCAGCCCAGCCAGTTGTGCATTCTAGGAATCACCACCCCAGCTCAGTTGTTCCTGTGCATATGCATAAAATGTCATTCCTCACGACAGCGTTGGGGCATTGGAGAACGCACCAGCGACTGCTGGCCAGCAGAAAGTCTCCCCCTCTCCCCACCACCAGATGCTCCTAGACAGCACTGAGATCAGGATTAGAAATATCCTGGATTTAGCTGGTGTCTGGCTTCGGTTGACAGCTTTTCTGCCTCTGGATTAAAAGGCTCAGTGCCTCTGAACTCCTGTTGCAGCTCTTTGGTGTGTGAAACAGGCTTTGCAGAGTGATGAAATTTGTTTTAATCCTTGTGGTCGGTTGTTCCCAAGGGCCTGTCCCAACTCTTTGGAGTTGGCTGTGTAGCAGATGGGACTAAAAATGGAGAAAGTGATCCATGGAGGCTGCGATTTCATGCTGGAGATTGCTATGAGATGTCCCTGCTCTCCTTCCTTTCCAGAGTCATATAAAACAATCTTCTCAAAACCTACAAGACTGTGGCTTTAGATGCCATTGACATGGTCTTGTAACTCCATCAATATCTCCTCTCCAGCAGTGACAGGGCTAAAATACTTGACCAAGGGACTTGTCCTAACTCCCAGTGCTCTCCACCCCAGTAGCTGCAATCAGGATGCTCATTATGGCTGAGACCCAGTCTGGGATTTAGGTTAGGTGTCCTCATATGCCATCTCTGCTCTACCGTCTCTATGTGACTTTGAGCTAAACATACTCCAAGGATGAGCTGGATGGAGCAAATCTCCCCTTTTTGCCTGCCCTTTCTTGACCTGATCCCACTGTGAGGTAGTTCCCAGGGGAAGAGGAGATGTCAGGGACTGTCCTGCATCCTCTGCCTCCACTTTACTTGGCACGGTCAGGCCGTGGTCATTGGCAGTGGTTTTATTAGTGTAATATCTGCAGCTAAACAGCTGAGTAACAGTTGTGACGGTTGTCCAGGCACTGAGAGCCCTCATGGCAATCCAAGTCAAAGACCTTTGCTGCAGGTCAGTGATCTGGCGTTCCTATTTTTGTCCACCCACGCCGTGTCTGTCGAGTTGGTATTGCTGTCTGACAGCTTTCCTTGCCCATCTGCAGCAGCGGTGGAAACGATTTCTCTGTTTATGCTCCTGGAGTAATTGTACCTTAGTCTGCTTGAAAGGGGAGCCAAGCAGCCCACCAAATTCACAACAGCACTGTGAAGCCAGGCAGAGAACAAGCAAGCTGCATGTTGAGAGAGAAGCTCTTAGGAGGATGATGGTTCAAGATCAGGAGAACATCCCTCTATATAGGCAGGATGTGTGGACCTCAACCATTGACACAATATGGTGTCATTAAGAAGATGAACAGAGATGCTCAAGTCTGAGATGAGGACCCAGACTGGCTTTGTAATTGCAAGGTCAAAACTTGCAACACTTCCTTAAGATTTCAAAATATCAAAACCGATTTGAAGCCTGAGCTTCTTGGTGTGGTTGATGGATTGTCTCTGATATTACTTACACTTGAGTGTAAATTAATATCAGGTTCAATCTGCTTCTTTTTCCTGGTCTCACGCCAGAGCAGCGTTGTTGGAAGATGAGAATTTCTCAGCAGGCAGAGCTAGGTTGCCTAGCTGAATTTATTGGTATTTTCCCTGATGAAGGCACTGGGTTAAATATGAACCTTGGCATGTTTCCTCCACTTGTCTTTCTCCAAAGAAGCTGCCCGTCAACTAACTACTGCCTTGCAGACTCTCTAACCGTTGAGTAGGAAGAGATGCTAACCTAGTGACTAGGAGAGTCTGAAACCACTTTGAACTAACCTAGTTTGGTTATTTGGGCAGTAACTCATATGTATTTGATGTGAATCAAAGGCAATATAGAAGGAATGCAGATAGCCTTGATCTGTGCCCTTTTGGAACTGAACGATTTTGAACTGCAGCGCTCGTTATATGACTGATATGTCCTTGTGAGTTCCAAAAAGATCGTTATGGCCATTTTGAGCAGGGGCTGAGGTGCAAACTGAGTGTCTTTCCCCAGGTTGTGCAGTGAGCTCATGATGGAGCAGGAGACTGAAGCCAGCTCTCCTGAATTCCTGCTCAGCACCCGCTGTGTTGGGTTTTTTTCTAACCAAACCACAGGTTTTATGTCTATTAGTGAAGCCATACATGCGTGAACCAAAACCTTTTGCTGCACTACAGACTGCTTTGGACTGGGCTGGGAATACACAAGGAGAGTTTCTTTTCGAGTACTTTGCTACGGGAGCTCCAGCCTACGTTGATGTGCTTACAGTGTTCGTATGGATGTGCACGTGTGTGTTCGCTGAGGGGGGTGGAGGAATATCTATTAAAGGTATAGCACAAGCTTGGTGGTCTCTCACTGATTCTTAACAACATATAATCCTTCCCATCAAATGACTCCCAACCATGGCAAAATGTACAAATAGTCCCTTGAGTCCCAGTAAAAAAAAAAGGACCTGTGCTTAATTGACTGGTTTGGCAACCAGCAGTATACCCTTCTGGTCAACACGGCAGTTTCTCCATGGTGTCACACTAGCAAACAATCTGCGTATTTCTGCGAGGGTGACATTATCCTATCCCGCCTAGTTTTAGTGTCTCTTGGTAGACGTTCTCATTTAATTATTATTTTACTTCTGTTTTTTACAACCTTGATGGGCCGACTGTAGTTTTGCTGCCACCAATGAAATAATCACTGAACATGTTGTGCCCATGATGGCTCACAAAGTTATATGATATGACCTCAATCGCTAATGAAAGGGTGAGCTTGTCTAGCGTGAGGATGAGGTAATTAGACCAGGACTTCTCCAGCCTTCTCTTTATTGAAAAGTAGGAGCTCTGAATAGACCACTTATTAAAAAAGCAATTTCCCTTCCTTTGCCAAATCTACTCTCGCTCATTCAGCTATTCTTTCAGAAGGGTCTTGGGTGGAGAGGGTGTGTGTTTGGGGGGAAGTTGTGTGCATGTGTCAAGGGGATGGGGGGCGGCGGTGGTGAGAGAAGTCAACTGTATTAAAGCTCCGTTGCCAGCAATGAAGTTTCTTGGTTGTATTAAATGAAGCACAGGCAGCCTTGCTAAAGCTTTCTTCTCCTCTATATCCTCCCCCTTCTTTTCCCCCCCTTGTACACACAAGTGCAGCCCTCTTTTGTAACCCATTAATGAAAAGTCGGAATATTAGAGCACTCAATTAGTTCCACTGGGCTTGAGTAAGTGATGTTTTAATTAAATTTGCCCAGTTTCTCAGCAAAGTATCATTAAACATGACTTTCCAACTCCCTCTCTGGAGCGTTGCTAAGTTTCTTAATCCCAGGAGTGCTGACCTCTTCCAGAGGTATGTCTGGTCAAGCATGTCTTACAGATCCAAGGGGCACTATTAAAGGGGGCTGCTGTTACCCAAGGAAAAAAAAAAAAAAAATGTCGTGTTCTCATTCCCTTTTCCCTTTATCCTTCCAGAATGAGGGGCAAAGCCAAGCCTTTGCCTTCAGGATCCTGAAGTCAGGAGTATAACCACAGTCTCCTTGAAAGCCAAGAGTGTTTGATGCAAAACTATGAGAGGGTGGAAATGGAAAATGAGAAAATTCCTCCCTCTCAAAAGGTCTCTCCTTAGGCAATATCTCCCTTCGAATCTGGTTCCCTTCACAAGGCTTCCTTAATTGTTTCTGCACAATATCAATCCAAATGTTTTAGCCCGTGCAGACTGTATGCACGTTGCTGAAGGGTCCTTGTCACCTTGTTGCTGTAGGGTTCGAGTCCAGACCCATCCTGGGACATATGAAGCCTGCATCTCTGAAACCATATGGGATGCTCTGGAGAGGATAGTGGGAGGTGCGTGGACTTTTCCTTGCTGTTGACTTGCTCGTTTTGGAAGTTCATGCAAGGAATGGCTTTTCCCCTTAGGCAGTGCTGGCGAGGATCTATCTCAAGGGCTGAGCGTGCCTTCTGCTCTGGAGACAGA